AAAAAAAAAAAAAAAGAAAAAAAAAAACAAATACACAAGCATAGATATTAAGCACCTGAAGATGGATATTTGGATAGAACCTCAGATTCAGCTTTCCTTTTTCTAGTGAAGTAACCCAATGAGAGTAGAAATGATGGCAGTCTAATTCTTCAGAGTGCTTACTTTATTTTATAAATTATAATTTTATTTTATTTTTATAAAAAGAATATGAATATTATCTTTGTTAAGTCATTATCTTTTGTAAGCATGATAAGTTCTCTATTAGATTTACTTGTTTTTAGCTTTGTCGAGAATTTGTAATATTATGTAATTTTATTATATTTTTTTTATAAAAAGAATGTAATGGTGGATAGTTGTGGGTATTAATTAAAATGTATTATTTTATTTCTAAAAAAAAAAAGACAAAGTACTTGTGGCATTATTATTATATTTGGCCCAGGGCGTAATAATTTTCAGGACCGGCTCTGGGAAGACGATAGGATGAAATCAAGGAAAACCGCCTATTCTATCAAGTATAAGTTTTTTCAGTAAGAAAGGAATTACACCTCTGACTCACCGATTTCCATTTTCCGTGTGCTGTGATAATATTATACAAGTGTTTTAAGAAGATTATCTAGGAAAATGTCCATGAGTTTCTTCAATTGGTTGTCGAACATATGTCGTTGAGTATGTCATAGTCGAGAACAATAATGTGTTTTTTTTGTTTCATGACTAATTCATTTATATAGGATTTTGGATTTTGTTTGTCTCTTTGGGCTTAGGTTGGGTGTCATGTAAACAATCCCTGTAAGGTGCTCGGGGAATGCATGTGAACAAATTAAAGCATTGATAGATGTGTTTTTCCTGTGTAAGAGTCGATTTACTTTTATTTGGGTTGTTTAACTTTGATAGGAAAAATAGTGAGACATTTTCGTTTTTCTAGTAGGTTTTGTGTTAGGCTAGGCTAACCATTAGGCCGACATTCATTTTTATCACGAATATGCATACTTCCATTAGAAAATGTAAAAAATGACATGAAAAAAAGTATTGCATTTCATGGGATAAGTGTGTATTTTTGTTAAAAGAGTATGAGGGGTCGACCCGCCTAACACTTGAACTGTCTCACATAATAAGTTGTGTTTTTTCGATCCTTTAAGGCTTCTTACATGGCTTTTCATTTTCAGAAATAGTGATTTATGAGAATTTTATGCTCTGGGAAAAATTTAGCCTTTCATTTGCTTTCTTCAGCAGCATTAATTATTTTTTCTGCATATGGCTTAATTAATGTTGTTTCAATTATCCATTGGGGTTGTGTTTGTCATTGGTATATGATGATATTGTTGATATCTAAGTGTGTGTCGGTGTGCGTGTGTGTGCACGTGGTTCATATCTAATTTTGTCTACAGAAAATAACTAGTAAAAATTCAGAGGAGATATGTAATGCTATCATATAATCTATATGTAAGCCATGTGGAATGGCTGTTTCATGAGCTTTTATACCTTCAAGTCAATATCCTCAGTAGTGTTTAATTTCGCAATTAGAAGAAAATCTCGATTAAAGGGTGACAAATTATGCACTAATGTGTTCTTCCCCTTATGCATGGCGAGCCACGTGCTTTTCCAATGTTATTTCCTATAAGAGTTGGTATTAATCAGCACATGCAGTTGCTCCTTTAACATTCTCTATTAGTTTGTTCTTAATAAATTTATGATTTTGCTATAGTTCCATCGCATGAAACCAAATATTGATACCTTGTGTTTCTTTCCTATTCGTGATGACTTAGTTCAATTGAGATTATGAGTATTATTATCGTCTGTGCTGGTACAAATCTAGTGGAATATCTTTCACGAATTTTCTTCTCAGGCTACTCGCTGTTCTTTACATTAATTGCTTATTGTTAGAATAAAGTAGCAATCTTTGATATCATAATTAATCTTTAACAAAAATAGGTCGAAAAACTTTACGCAAGTTTCAATTTCATTCTTATGCAGGAGTTCCTTCAATTGTTGTCTTGGGTGTTTCTTTTCGGTGGGCTACATTGAAAAGCATAAGCATCATCCTTTAGGTGTTCGATAAATTGTCCAAGAGAGGTATTGAACTATTCATCTACCGATTTTTCTTTACGAATCTTTCTCACTCTTTTTCCTTTATGATTTTCTTTCTAATTGTTGATTTTCGTGCAACGCTTGCGATCGAAATTGTAGATGGCTGCTATTCCGGATACTTATTCATTTCGACGGCTGATCCGGATGCACTGTCCGAAATAAAAAACCAAGGAGATTATTGNAAAACAAGCCCACTCATAAACCAGCCTAGTTAAAATTGATTTATACATAGCAATTAGCATTTTATCTGTGAGTTTTCAGAATCACAGCCAAGTTTAATCAGCACTTTAGAAAATTCCATCATCCAAACACTGCCCATCTTACAGCATGTTATACTCTGATGATTAACAAAAACAAACCGGGATTTTTTGGAGTAAATGTTTTTAGTTTCGCTAGCTGTTTATCTTCTTAGCCTCAAAGGTGGCTCCATCATTGAGCATGTCCTAAGCATCACTCTCCATCCCCAGCTTAGATAGGGCAAGAGCCTGTAAGTAGAAGGCTGTGGGCCACACGGGGGCCTGCATGGCATCTCTTAGGGCTAGTTCGGGCTGACCCATCATCTAGTAGGAGAGGGCCCATCTCACGGATATCGTACCAAATGGTACTGTCATCATTGATACCAGCTTGGAATAATATTCGATGGCGCTCTTGAAGTCCTTGTCCCTGAAAGCAATATCTCCGGATTTTTTCGTGTTCAGCATGTCTTGAACTTGCTGTGTCCATTCTTGGAATGAATGCTCATTTTCGCACCCTCTTCATCTTTATAACCCTTTTTCTGTAAAATGTCGTGCACTGAAGATCCATTCTTGCTGTAGAACCACAGGGTTCTTCACTAGGTCCATTAGAACATACGAAGCAACCTCTATCTGCTTTTGAAGGGGTGCAACTGCAGCAAGAAGAAACTTAACATCAGGCCTATATCTAGCTTCATACTGAAGGCACTTTTAAGTGAGCTCGATCAATGCAGTTGCATCTTCATTAGCATATTGCCCTTCCAGAGATGAGAGACCATCAGCATTAAGATGTTTTTGCCTCTTATTAAATCCAAAGCCTGTAGTAGCACATAAATCAATCTCCAAGAGAACAAATTAATTAACTTCTTTTTTTTAAGTACATTTTTCCAATCAATTTATTTTTTACCTCATCTCAATTAACAATAAAAGATCCAGAAGGATGCACCATACATGACTAGGTGGGATATTCTTTCCACTCAAAAGATCGAGAAGAACTGTTCCATAACTGTAGATGTCACTCTCTGGAATGACCCTACTAAAAAAATCGGGAGGGGTGTATGCTATGCTAAATTTGTATCGTAACTCTTCCCATCCCTACTATTCTTCATCAAGCCAAAACTTGACAACCTAGGATCACCATCCTCATAAAAAAGAACTCTGTAGGCATTTAAGTCATGATAGATTTCTTATTTTCGGCATTGCAGTGGTGAAGAGCTTGTGATATGTGGTATGCAACTCTTGCACGCATTTCACATGGCAGGGGCTTCTTATCCCAGTGAAAAGGTGCTTAGACAGCGTATCATTAGGCTGGTACTCTGCAACTAACAGTCGTTCATCGCCTTCAGCACAACATCCAATCATGTTCATCAATCTTTTATGCCTAACCTTGCCAACTCCAACTCCAGCAGCCTCTACCACAAACTGCTAAGGATAAGGCCACAATTGTAGAGGCCTTTATATATTAGTGCACTCAGTAACAATCAAGAAAGAATATAACTCATGTTAGTACTATTGCATCTTTATATAACAAAAAAAGAATACAACTCATGTTAGTATTATTGTATCTTTACAGGAATGTTTCACTCAGCAAAGATAATCTCATGATTCATTACTAACTACTAAGCAACCCAAGTGTGTCAATCCTGACCAAGAATGTTTCACTCAAAATATCATCTCATGATACTAACTACTCAGCAGCTCAAATGTGTCAATCCTAACTAACAATATATTATGCAACAACCAAACTCACTGAAAAGCAACAAGATAAGCAATGTTTCACTAAAAATATCATCTCATGAAAATCAGCAACACTTTTACTTTCTCACCACATCCCAGAGATAACATTCTTCAGCATCCTCTACAATAATCTGTCTGAAGCAATCATCTGACCACTCACTTCCATATGTATTCTGAATTTCAAAAAGATCACGCCCTTCGTGATGACCCCAACCAATGAGGAGGGTCGAATGCCAACTATCACCTCCTGCAGTCTTTCGATGCGGCACAGCGGCCCAATATTGTCCTCCGGGGAAAATCATGAAAGTCAACCCTCAAACGGAACGCCACAATCACCGGTCCATTCTCCATAACCTCCTTTTTGATGGTCTTCACAAATTTTGGATTTGGAAAGGGCCCTTTTATCATCGTCCTGTGATTAGGGTTTAGGGTTGTAATTTAATCGAATCGAAGCGAATACTCAACGATTTGATTCAAATTCATGAAAATGTTTTGACTATTTATGTTCGTATACGATTCGTTATCGAATTTAGCTTGCGATTCGTATTCGATTCGATTAAGATAATCGAATATATTCGACTCGATTAGAAATTCATTTTCAGAAATTACTTATAATATATAAATATATTTATATTTGATAAAAAATATATATTTTTGAATATAATATATATTTTTAAAATAAATCAAGTATGATTTTTTAAATATAAATATATTCGTATATTTGATAATTTTAAATCGAACATGTGCATATTAATATTCGGATTCGAATATGTTTATAATCTTAAACACCATTCTTATTCGAATTCGAATTTGAATGTTTACGAATACGAATCATAATCATGAATCGAAAATGTTTGATTTGTTTACAACCTTACATGTGATTCTTCGCGGTCACCAGGGAAAATGTTTGGTCCTTTAGGACCTTCTTAAATTTGTTTGCACGACGTGTGCTATAACTGTCATTTTCTCCCTCCAATGGACCATACATGTACCACTCCTACCCTGTAATGAAATCACTCAATCCGATGCTTACATCATTTCTCTCCTGTCGAGAACATACTCGACCGAGAGTGGACCGATCTGAAGTTTCTTCTCTCTGGTGGGTTCCTAGACCCGCAGTTCTGTCTCCATCAATGTCAAGAGCGCGTGCATGTTACACGTCGCTGTGAATACATAAAAAAAAATTTACAAAGAACAATAATGTTTTGTTGTTTCACTAATTCATTAGTATGGATTTGGTATGTCGCATGCAAATCTGCTCCTATATGATTGCATCACTAACAAATAGTTGAAAATATTAGTGCACTCAGTGACAACCAAGAAAGAATATTGCTCTTGTTAATACTATTGCATCTTTATATATTAGTGCACTCAGTGACAACAAAAAAAGAATACAACTCATGTAAGCATTATTGCATCTTTACAGCACCTTTAATGCTAACATGAGTTGTATTCTTTTTTTGTTGTCACTGAGTGCACTAACATATAAAGATGTAATAGTACTAACAAGAGTTATATTCTTTCTTGGTTGTCATTGATTGCACTAATATTTTCAACTATTTGTTTGTGATGCAATCATATGGGAGCAGATTTGCATGCGACATACCAAATCCATATTAATGAATTAGTGAAACAACAAAAACATTATTCTTCTCTAATATGATGTAATNTGTTCTTTGTAAATTTTTTTTTATGTATTCACAACGACGTGTAACATGCACGCGCTCTTGACATTGATGGAGATGAAAAACTACGGGTCCAAGAACCCGAAGAAACTTCAGATCGGTCCACTCTCGGTCGAGTATGTTCTCGACAGGTTTGCTAGGGTTGTCCAACATGCCGAGAGAAATGATGTAAGCATCGGATTGAGTGATTTCATTACAGTGCACAGAGTGGTGTCCCAGAGTGACTACATGTGCGGTTCATTGGATGGAGAAAATGACAGTTATAGCACACGTCATGCAAACAAATTTGAGAAGGTCCTAAAGGAGCAAGCATTTTCCCTCATGGCCGCTAAGAATCACATGTAAAGTTGTAAACAAATTAAAAATTTTCGATTCATGATTATGATTGTATTCTTAAGCATTCGAATAGAATAGTGTTTTAAGATTATAAAAATATTCGAATCCGAATATGAATATGCACATGTTCAATTTGAAATTATCGAATATATTTATATTTAAAAAAACCATACTTGATTTATTTTAAGAATATATATTTTTAAAAAAATATAAATATATTATAAGTAATTTTCGAAAACGAATTTCTAATCGAGTCGAATATATTCGATTATCTTAATCGAATCGAATACGAATCGCAAGCTAAATTCGATAACGAATCGTATACGAACACATAGTCAACATTTTCATGAATTTGAATTGAATCGTTGAGTATTCGCTTCGATTCAATTAAATTACAACCCTAATCACGATGATAAGATGGCCCTTTCCAAATCCGGAATTTGTGGAGGCCATAAAAAAGGAGGTTATGGATAATGGACCGGTGCTTGTGGCTTTCCGTTTGAGGGTTGACTTTCATGATTTGCCCCGGGGACAATATTTATATTGGGTCCCGCTGTGCCGCATCGAAAGACTGCAGGAGCTGATAGTTGACATTCGACCCTCTTCATTGGTTGGGGTCATCACGAAGGGCGTGATTTCCTTGAAATTCAGAATACATATGGAAGTGAGTGGTCAGATGGCGGATTATTGTAGAGGATGCTGAATAATGTTATCTTTGGGATGTGGTGAGGAAGTAAAAGTGTTATTGATTTTCATGATATGATATTTTTAGTGAAACATTGTTTATCTTAATGTTTTTCAGTGAGTTTGATTGTTGAATAATACATTGTTAGTTAGGATTGACACATTTGGGTTGCTTAGTAGTTAGTAGTGAATTATGAGATGATATTTTCAGTGAAACATTTTTTGTCAGGATTAATACACTTGGGCTGCTTAGTAGTTAGTAGTGAATCATGAGATTATCTTTGCTGACTGAAACATTCTTTAGCTTGTTGCTTTTCAGTGAGTTTGACTTTTGAATAATACATTGTTGGTTAGGATTGACACACTTGGTCTGCTTTAGTAGTTAGTGATTTGTGTTTCAGTTAGACTTGAAATTCTTGCAATTACCTTACCAATCTCGACCTATATGTATTGAGTAGCATGAGGTGTTTCGAAATTATTTTTTAGATTGTCAAGTGCCTCGAAAATTACAATTTCAACTTAAGAACCAAAAGACGTTTTATCTCCGAGCTATTAATATATCACTTGGAAATCATCCATCTTAATTCCCTACTAGTATTTGATCCTGTGCACATGCACAAAAATTTAAATTATTATAACTTATAAGTTACGTGTATGTGTATAATTGTAAAATTAATAAATTATAAGTTAAATAATAGTATCATATTTTAAAAATTTTGTCGTTAGTAAAAATGAACATCATAAAAGTATTCAAATTCATCACTATATTTATTATATAAAATAAAAGATAATTATTTTCATTAAATTCAACTAATATAGTGTACAATCTCACATGAAAAATTTGAATTTGAATGAACTGGTGTAAAGATCTCTATTTGAAAAAATGATATTTTTATATATATTTTGCATTGTATCTATAGCATATCAATACTTAATACTTCTCTTACATGTGAAAAGTCAACATACAAATTAAAAAAATATTTTTAACCATTGGAATTTAAGGGTTTAAACATTATCTCGTAACCATGCAACAGTTAGTGGGCCTGGCCCACAGTTAGTTCATTATTAAGAAGCCATATTCCTAATCTCCTAAGGATCCCTACTGTAGTTTTATATATACATCATTGAGAAGAGATCCATCAATCACATAATTCACGTGATACACGCTGCCCCTAATCTCTCTCTAGATCTTATTCGAGCTTTATCTTCTTCTTGTTGCTCCACCGGTACGAGTTGAAGAGTTGAAGAGGTGTGTGAGTAATACAGTAGAAGATCCCGAAGGTAATCAAGACCCCGTGATCATCTACAGAAGTCGACGAATCTCAACCCGAAGGTCAAGATCTCTCGGCCGCTCGACAATGCAAAATATAGGCTCGAACTCAACTCGAGTTCGTGCTCGCACCGCTCGAGTTCGGTCAAACTCGAGCTCGAGTCGAGCTTTGACTCGAGCAGTTTGTTTGTAGCCCTAGGTTGCACTCTCTGGAAGGATTAGTCTCACTCCTTTGCATGGGGATCCCTTAGGCGTGATAGGCCTATACCATGTATTGGAAGGATGTAGTTGGTTGTAAAACTGTGGAGTGAATGGGGATCAAGGTTCTAAAAACTGGACCGGTTCGACCGCTTTAACCGCAAACCGGCCAATACACCGGTCTGATTTTAGGTATGAAAACGTTGAGACCGAAAACTGGTAAAAAACTATTATAACCAGTCAAAAACCGGTCCAACCGTGAAACCAGTAGCGGTTTGTGCAGTGGTCCAGCTGTGAACTTTGACAGAGGTGGTTGTGTAATCACTTAAATAGGTGAATTGTTTTGTTAATATTTTCGATGTGGGATGTTCAACAATAAAGTTGTTGAATAATTGGGTCGTAGTGGGCCTTTACAAACAGACCGTTAGTTTCTGTAATTTGTACTTGGGCCAGTTACTTGGTAACCAACCTCGTTCATTATAAAACAAGCTAAGGAGACCCTAATTGCCTTTGGGTTTCATTCGCTCATTTATTTTTTGTAATTATTATTATTATTATCTTTTAAATTGAATTTCTTGTGTACGCCGAAAAGATCAAACCATTAGCAACACCGCCAAAATTGAAATAGTATATCTCAATGTCAAACAACTATAAACTTTCATTATTTAGAAAATGTCATTATACACTATAAAATTAATAATAAAAATATATAAAGTTATATGTTATACATATAAAATAAATAAAAAATATATATTTATTAAACTGGTTCGACCACTGATCCGACCAGTGAACTATTTAGCTTCACCGATTCGATTTTCAGAA